AAAAAGAGATGGTTCATCTCAAGGGGTTATCCTTAAGAATAAATAAATAAATAAATAAAATAAAATCCACACCACGACAAAAAAGTGACTAAAATAACACAAAAATAAGAACTTCACACTTCAGTTCAGTACAATGTATTTATTTTTTGGCGCTAAATCACAACAGTAGTTATCTCGGAGGAATTTACTTATTTAAACTAAACTAAACTAAACTAAAACTAAACTAAGATTGAGGCATTTATTAGAGCATCGAAAGCATTTGGTTGTTTTTGTTTTGTTACTACTGGATTATTATTTCTGTTGTTGGTCTTATGTGAACTTGTTTGAGTCCAAGGCAATATACTTCAATTCATAATTCATCTTGAACCCACTTCACCCACATTAATTAAGATAAGATAAGATACACTTTATTCATCTCACACAGGATACATTTACATGTCACATTTGGCATCGATAGAATCACTCAAGATTTGTGCAAAAGAAAGAAGTGTGCAAACATGTTAAATGCAAATGGTCTATTTAGGATATATTATGTACAATAAAAAAAGTGTCATTTAAAGAAACAGTGTCAATAGTAGTGCAGGTTTTTAGTCCTAGTGCAAGTCACTTAAATTGACTTATTGTACAGTCTGACAGCGGTGGGGATAAAGGTCCTGCGGTAGCGCTCCTTCCTACACTGAGGGTGTCTCAGTCACTGAAGGAGCTCCTCAGCTCCTCTACAGTCCTGTGCAGTGGGTGGGAGGTATTGTTCATGATGGAGGTGACTTTGACTAGCACCTCCTGTCCCTCACCCGCTCCAGAGTCCAGGGGGCAGCCCAGAGTGGAGCTGGCCCTCCTGACCAGCTTGTTCAGTCTACTCCTGAGTCGTGTGTATTTGAATAGTTGGTGATGGTGAGAGGGGCCGATGGCACAGACTGGTTGGCTCGCTTCTGTCAGTGTGCCCCAGGGCAGCTGTGGCTTCAGTGATAGTTAATCACCACTGTGTATGGACTAAATGAATAATGACATGTCAAGCGCCTTTGAGAGTCACAAAAAAAAAAATATATATATATATATATATGTATATTTATAAACAATGCATTATTATTCATGATCATTACAAGGTTACTGACTTCTTGCATCATAAATAATGATCAAATCACGGTATTGTCACTTTCATCCGAGGCGATCATTCTCCTTAAGCTGCTTTATCCCTCTGTAATTTCCTTAAAGATGAATAGGAGGCAATGTTGACCCTGCTATCGTGAATAACAAGGTGCTTTTGTCCTCTTGTCGGCCTTATGCATCCAAGCACTGCAAATTTAGGCTGACATGTTGTGAGCAGCCACTTGCAGAGAAGATAAATGGTCTTTTTGTGCCGGGCCTCGCAGACGGCAGCAGATCTCCACGCTGTGTAGTGTTCCTGGCAAAGCTAATGTGTCATTTGCCAGGCAGATAAGCAGCTTCGCCACGCCGCACTGTCAGGCGGTGGCGGCCGTGGCGAACCCTGGTGCTCCTCGCTGACCTTTACTTTGAAGGTGCTCACACTGACCTGGAAACTGCACGCTTTTGATTGGTTTAGTGGCTGAAGATGCAATCCAGAGATGAATACTGAAAAGGTCAGTCCGCCTCAACACGGCAAAGACTTTTGTAGAGTTACATGCTGTATAGAATAGAAATCCATATTGTGTCCCTCTACTTCTGTTTGGAATCTGCTGTTGAATTGTTAGGTATAAAAGTTCTGCATTTTGTACGCAACACAATTTTCTGAATATGTTGAGGGATTTCCTGCTGCTCCGTAATTGAATCTCAGACCAATCAAAGTTGTTTAAGTAAGTTTGTAAGAGTTCAGAAGGTTTGATAACATTATTTGAGTGAAAGTTGTTGTTGAGAACTTGTGTGGCACATTTTCATTCCTCTAAAATACAGAAACAATTGGAGCCATATCACTGTACTCTTATGCTCTACATTTTGGAAGCATAGAAAACAGAATCACCCAATAACGAGAAAAGTATTCACGTTATGAGGTTGAGGTCCAGGTGAAAATTACACATCAAAGCATGCATTCTGTAAACGTGTTTTTGCTTGATGATGTAATGTAACCTCATATTTTAACATATTTTAATGTGTCATCTTTTTTTATATCCAATTTCTGAGTCTTGGATTCCTTCAATGTGGTCAGTCTCTGCGTTTCTCACTTTTCTTCCACTGGATTTTTATAGAGTTGTTCCGTGCAGACGTGGGAGGGTCCGAGGACAGTGGTGATGATCCAGGAGATGGACCAATGTCTCCATGCATTTTCTTTTTCATCATTGCATTTCTTTTTTTTTAACTGTTTGATTGTCTGACCTGAATTGGCAAATTGACAGCTTTTTTAAGTCCTTCAGGTTAACTAGTGTTGTGACTTTGAGCTATACAAATTGTATAGTAAAAGTTGTAGACATTGAATTGAAAACCAACATATTGGGGCTGTAGCAGGTTAAATGATTAAATGAAATTAATCCATCCATAGTTTTATGTTGATAATAAGTTGGGACAGGCTTAGGGTTAGTTTAGTAATTGAATTATTGATATTTTGAACTTTTTGAACTTTTTGAACTGAGTTTTCATGACGCAGATCAATCAGAAATAAATTAGGTTTATTTCATTATTTGTTTACAAAGTATTTTTAAGCAGGGGCTCCAGGGGCTTTGCTTTGTTTTGGACAAAAAAAATCCGACATTCACCAAACTTTTGGGATCTAATCAACTGATAAATTAATCGAATTGTTCCGAATTGTACTGAATTATACCCATCAATTATCAGAGTGATCATTCATTTGTCAGGATGCTCATTTGTGTTGCTTTGAGCATAGAGGACAAAGAGTCTGAAATACAAAGTCAGAAGGATTAAATAATGCATAATGAAGTAAAAGTTGCATTAAGTCGGAAAATAACAATTCGGGCTCCTACAGAAAGTCAGAAACTGAAAGAGTGTTAACAGTTGTTATAGTGCTAACCTGTGTGTGTGCGGGTGTGTGTGTGCGGGTGTGCGTGTGTGTGTGTGTGTGTGTGTGTATCTGAGAGGGTTTGGATGACGTCTTCCAGCTAGGGGCTCATCCAGAAAGTGCAAGGAAATGGTGTTCTTGCTACCTATTGTTGTAGTGCTAATCTGTGTGTGTGTGTGTGTGTGTGTGTGTGTCTGTGTGTGTCTGTGGATGTGTGTGTATGTGAGCGAGAGACACAGGGTTTGGATGAGAATGACGTCTTCACAAATGTATTTGAAGGTGCCTTTGTCTCTGTCCGGGAAATCAAAGAATACATTGTGTTGTATGTGAGTGTACTGTAAGTACTGTTGTTTACCAGTCACTAACCTTAGCATCTAGATATAGTTTTATTTTAATATTTTATTTTGAGCCATACACAAATATAACATTCTGCGTCATACAGAAAGCACTGTACCCACACACGGCAACAAAAGAATGACGAAGAAAAAAAAACAAATATGATATACTATAAGTTTTGTATATGCACTGATCCATGGTACTGCTTAAAGCTGCACTAACTGACTTTATTTTTGTATTCATTACGAGTCCATGTAGTGCATTGGGATATACAGTACGTCCGTTTGAAGATAAAGTAGCGCAGATTTGTGCTGGCGTGACATTATTTTAGATCGAGTTTTGATAAAACAAGGAAGAGAATGTGTTTCGGGTCTCAGATTGTGACCAATCACAGCGGACCACTAGCCCCCACTTTCGTGAGAAATCTACAGGTCCGTTAGCACAGACAGCTGAGTTAGCACAACAAGCGGCGGAGCTAACCTGAAACTTCCTTGTCTTTGTCACCGGTTACTGCTTACACAGCGAAACAGCCATCCAAAAGAAAGTCTCGTTCCTCCGCGCTTCCCGGTTCTATCGTTCTATGGTCACGCCATCCACGTGAAAATCCATGTCCATGTATTTATCCATATTGGGAGAGGCTAGCTCCGTCTCAACACTGTGTGTGTGTGTGGGGGGCAATAGCTTCGTGGGTGCGGGGAGGGGAGCAGAAAGAGAGAGGCCAGCGAGTCTGCGGCTTCAAAATCCCAAAGTCAGTTAGTGCAGCTTTAATATACTCCCAAATTACATCCCTACATAAAGTTGATGAATACAAAACCTTATTAGTGGAGCACCATCTTTCTACTGTAGCCTTTCCTTAACATTTCCACAAAGTCCAAATGGACACAGAAGCCTATTTGGACAGTGTAATGTTGATGCAGTACATCTCGCTCAGGGTCTAAATGTCACTCCTTGAAAGTCAAGGCCTTTTTGGTAATAGCACACGGTTGCAAATGTCAGGAAAAGTGCACAGCTGATGATTGAGTGGCGTGTGTCGTGGTTTCGGCTCCGGAGGCGCCGCACACACTGGCTTTTATACGGAACAAGTTATTCCCCCGAGAAGACCGGATACGTATCAGAAAAAGAAACTATGTCCTTGTGTTCGCTCTGTGACGATTCTTCGGCAAAGTGGCATTGTATGATAATGTAATACGGCCATACCTGCATGTGAAAAATCCAGACCCCTGAAGCTAAGCAGGACAGGGTCTGGTTAGTACTGCGATGGAAGACCTCTGGGAGCACCGGGTGCCGCAGTGGGGCTTTAAGTGTCCAGAAAAGCGCTGTATTTCTTTGTCATTGTTGCTGGATACGGACTCTAGACGAGGTTCTGATTGGCTGCTGAAGTCGAGCCGAGCCAATAATAACAGTTGCAAGGAAAACACCCAGCTATGTCACTCGTTCACAACATGGCTGTAGTTGAACCACTTTGGAAGAGTGCAGATAAGAGCCTCATGGACTCAAAAAGGCCGGACAGAGCGATGTTGGCTCTTGGTCCGGAGCGAGGACGAGCCGCAGATCAGAACATTTGCTTTTATCAAGTGGGTTATTTTCACGAGTTTGGTGCATCACTTGTGGAGCTAACCGACTGAAGTTTCAGACATTGTCTAACATGTCAAATTCCACTGAATGTTCAAGAATATTTTCCCTCCAGGTAAATATTTATTTATAGACCAGGTTGTTGTGAGTTTTTAAAATAAGTTTCTCCTAAGATTGGGGTCCTGACACACAGCAGTGGAATTGTCTCCTCCGCCTCATCTTCCTCTTCTGCCTCCTCTGTCTCCTCTTCCTCCTCTGCCTCCTCTGCCTCATCTTCCTCCTCTGCCTCATCTTCCTCTTCTGACTCCTCTGCCTCATTTTCCTCCTCTGCCTCCTCTGCCTCATCTTCCTCCTCTGTCTCCTCTGCCTCCTCTTCCTCCTCTGCCTCCTCTGCCTCATCTTCCTCCTCTGCCTCATCTTCCTCTTCTGACTCCTCTGCCTCATCTTCCTCCTCTGCCTCATCTTCCTCTTCTGCCTCCTCTGCCTCAACTTCCTCCTCTGTCTCCTCTACCTCATCTTCCTCCTCTGTCTCCTCTGCCTGCTCTCCTCTGCTTCCCCTTCCTCCTCTGCTCTTCACTGGTCTTTGAGTCCAGAGAATGACGAAGACTTCAGAGGAGATCTTCGGCTCCAGTGCAGAGTTAGCCTTTCCTTTCATGTTGTGCCCCTGGGATTATCGTATGAATCTGCGTGACCTGATTGCCAGGCTGAGCTGAGGATCAAACCTCCCTCTATGGCTGCTGTCTAATTAATACAAGCGTGCCATTGCACAGATCCATCCAAAACATACTCTGAGAGCTTTTCTCTCACTCTGAAGGACTTTTCGAAAACCACTCTCTCTGAGGGAGCATGTGGCAGCTCTTATATCTCCTGATCATGTGTTTATCATGTCCATTACAGACTACAACATGATACATTCTCAAATTTTTCCTTTTTTCTAATATTTTAGTTACAAATAAGTTACATCCATAATGTGCACACTTAAGATATGATTATTTTCAATTATTCAATTATTTCAATTCTATGAAATTAAATAATGGATACTGTTTGAACTTATTTCCTCCTTTTATTCTGCTACAATGTGCGCAATGACGACGTTGATATTTCCACTGTGGGGCGAAATAAAGTTGGTCTCATCTTTAAAGGAGCAATATTTAACAATCTGGCCAGAAGTGGTACTGCAGTCACAGTCAATATTCTGTAGTCCGCTCCCACTCTCCCTGACTCAGGTTGCCAGATACACACCAAATCCAGCAGCAAACACAGGGAATTATTTTATCAGTTGTTTGTCTGTCTCCATTCACATTGCCATGAGCCGTGCTAATGTTGATTGAATTTTTGAATTAATGTTTTTTTTATTTTTTTTATTTGGACAATCGGGATGAGAAAAACAAAATAAAAGCAATTTAATTATACATCGATAATGCAAAATAAATAAGCAAATGATGTCCAAAATAGGAGTGGGAAGAATGGATGTTGGAACATATTTCCTCCAGTGGATATCCTCAATTGTATTTATTCCCTATTTTTTAGACATACAAGTCCCACATCAAAAAGAGACTTTTTTTGTATTGGGGTACATGTGGTCTCAAATTATTCTTTTTACAATTTAGCTATAATCTACAAAAAACGTCTTTGTACCTGTTTTTTGTGCAATTTGTCATAAAACGTTATATTTTTCAATTAATTTCAAACAGTCTCCACCCGGATTGAACCCGGGTCGCTGGGTTGTTAGCTCTACTGCTCAACCATTAGGCCACGACCACACTCGACAAACAGTGTTTTATTTGCTGTCTCAATTTTTCAAAAGCGTCCCGATATAAATCCTCGTTTCAGTCTTATTTTTGTCCTTAATGATTTGAGAGCCATAATAAGACCTTTTTTAGTTCTGCAGCTACATGTTATTTTACCAGTGAGATTAGCTTGTTGCGCGGAGTTGTGGCAACACGGATTGCTGACTTCCTGATTGGTGAAACGGCACAGGGTGGGACATCGAAATGAAAACAATAACAACTTTTACGGGTCTCAAAACTAATTTAGATTTTCAAATATCGGCTGAACTACTGTTATCAGTTAAAGATGTATTCAAAAAGAGCATGATTTAACAATGCCTTTTGAAATATAGGGGCCATTTGATGATGACTTGACGTGCAAATATTACATATTGCTACTTTAATATATTGTGTGAGGGACTGAACTAAATGTTGATGAAAAAACAAAAAGCTTTAATTTAAGTGCCATGTATGTTTCAATGTCCAGTGTGAAATAATGTATGTTTTAATATACTATTGCAATGAAAATGATGTCACATGTTTATCAGAGAATCTATTATTATACAATGTATCACACTTCTCGATTAAAGATTGAGCTCAGATTGAGAAACGGAGAAGCCTGTGTGTCTGATACTCATCCTTTCGGCTCCATATGTTCTCTCGATAACATGTTGTGAACAGAAGTTGCACTCAGCTACAGCCTGTACCTGTTTACTTCAGCTGAGCCGCTTGCTAATAGCACAGAGCAAAGGCGGTCTGTGGACGTGACTCATGTTTATTTGAGAAGTTGGATTTTCTGACGGTGTAATCAGACGCTTTAGACGCAGAGCATGGCGGAGGCGGCATATGCGCCGCTCGTTAGCTAGATCACAGAAACATCACTGCGTTTTGATTACGAGACACAACAACTGCTGTAGCACCGTGTGATGGGGATTCCTCCCAGATGGATATTAGCGGCTGTCATTAGCAGGTGTGTAATTAATGCCTCCTGATGGAGCGCTGTGACGCTAATGCTGCCTGACTGTGGCTCCGTGGGACTTTAAATCACGACAGGCAGCCAGACGTGTCCTTGTCATGGCTGTCTGTGTGGCCTCATTACTTCTTTGGCCACTGACACATCTTCTCCGCCTCCCTTTCCTCCAGACGCTGGTCATTCGTTTGGCTCAGCTCTCATCCACACAGCAGTGCACTCTGGACCCTGGACAGTCCCATTTAGAATTTGATAGAGGAAAAGGGTGGCTCTATTTGTAAGTGATTAGTGGGAATCATTAATGATTACAGAAGTCAGAACAACACTTTCAACTAGTGCAGTGTAGGGTGACGTCAATTCACTTCCATTCTATCTATTTTGAATCGGCCTAAATCACAACTGGAGTTATCTTGGAGGACTTTACAAAACCGTTGATTTGCCAACATAGGTCAGAGAAGTTCAAACTCAGGAAATGCAATCATAAAAACACATAGAGCCATTGGTCCATAAGGGGCAGATGACCAATGTCCATGAATGTTGTTGAATGTCAAGTGTTCTGCATCATCACCACTGTCCTTGCACCTTCCTGCATCAGAGAGGAACAACTCTAAAGACCCAGTGGTAGAAATGACAAACCTCTCGGAATCATTGTTTGGAAATGGTGAAAATATATTTTTGGAAGACAAACAAAATATGACAAAAAAACAGTTGATCCATAGGTGCACGACTCGTACTACAGTATCATCCGATGCCGTGCCTGTTCACATGAAAACCACGAACCATGAACTAATGAAGTAAGTACCAAAATAGCAAATAGTTTTGGAGAGACGGCCCGACACACGGCTTTGGATTTTCCTCATGTGCATGTCTTGGTCCTGGTCCTGCTGCTCAGAATTCAGAATCATTTTTATTTCCTTTATTGTTTGTATGTAGTGTAGTAGGCTCTTTCTCCCTCCACCCCCTTTTCTCCACCCCCTTTTCTCCACCCCCTGCATTCTCTCCCCTCCCTCCATCTTTTCATAGCTGGCCGTGTCCAGTCCAGTAAAAAGCATATCTGGTAAATTACATTGCCTCCTTTAATTGGGCTTCAACCCTCCTGTCTCCTGTTACCTAAGTGTTCCTGGTTTCATTTGACCAGTTGGTTTAAACTACTCTTAAACTAACACAAAAACTATCAATCACCACCAACTTTTTTTGGGTTCTCATTAATTTCCTATATACAGTAGGGGTCACCTTTGACCGGGCGCAGGTATAACAAGGTGATGATCCAGGACACTCCACATTCAACCACATTTATGGACATTGGTCATCTGCCTCGTGTGGACCACCTCTATGTGTTTGTTATTGTTGCATTTTCTGTGTTTGAACTGTTTGATTCTCTGATCTGTGTTGGCGAATCGACAGCTTTGTAAAGTCCTCAGATATTATTACTGTTGTGATTTAGGGCTATAAAAGAATACATTGATATGAATTGTATTGAATTAGAATGAGTTTGGAGTGTAAATGTTACATGAGTGGTGGCTATCAAATGTAAATGTTCAAAAATTGTGAAAATTTGAAAATGTGAAAATTATCATAACATTTTAAGGCCTTCAGTTAAAAAAACAATATTTGTGATTGTGTTATGTTGTGAATCGGTCAGGAAGGCTAAAGCAGCAAGTTTCATTTTAACCATAACTATATTAAAGCACCTTGTCCATAGAATTCTGGGAGAAGTAACTGGAGCACTATCCACTCCTCTTCCTCTTTTTTCCGCCATTATTATAACTTCAGCCGTAGCCTGTTCATTGCTATTCACCCCCTCCTTGCCTGGGAGACACCTCAGTACTGCCTCAGTCGTTGTTCTTTAGTCTGAGTCCTGATCTACAGCCCATCCATCCATGGGAGCGGATTTTCGGCCTTCCTGAGGTTTCTAATTTTTCCCACTGGGTTTTTTTACTTTTTCTTTGCAGATGCAGGAAGGTCTAAGGACTGTGATGATCCACTTCACATTTACCAACATTTATGTACATTGGTCATCTGCCCCTTATGGACCAATGTCTCTGTCTGTTTTTAACCCTACTGCTCAGGTGAGGACAGAGTTGAGGAGGATAAAGACCAGGAAAGCTCCAGGACCAGATAACATCAGCTCCAGGCTCCTTCGCTCCTGCGCAGATGAACTCTGTGGAGTGATGGAGCGAGTCTTCAACCTGAGCCTCAGGCTGAGGGCGGTACCACAGCTCTGGAAGACCTCCTGTGTGGTACCAGTGCCCAAGAAACCACGGGCCAAAGACCTCAGCGACTTCAGGCCAGTGGCTCTAACATCACACTGCATGAAGACACTGGAGAGACTGGTCCTGGGACATCTCCGCTCCACTCTGAGCCCAGCGATGGACCCGCTGCAGTTCACGTACCGGCCGGCCATCAGAGTCGAGAGCGGCATCATCTCCCTCCTCCATCGCTCGCTGTCCCACCTGGAGAAACCCGGCTCCAATGTGAGGATCCTCTTCTTCGATTTCTCCAGTGCCTTCAACACCATCCAGCCGCGGCTTCTCAGGGACAAACTGGAGACAGCTGGAGTGGACTACAACTCACAGTCAGACCCCAGTTTGTGAGAACCAGGGACTTTGTGTCTGAGGTCCTGACCTGCAGTCTGGGGGCCTTCAGAATGTCACTTTACCTTATGTCACTTTACCTCATCTACTTATTATCCTGCACTATTTAACTGTACAGTATATAACTGCACTACTACTACATGTATATATTTGTTGACTGGTATTGAAGCATTTCCAGCATCTACAGCCAGTTATGCTAGTTAAGAAACTCTTACTACTGTCCTGTCTGTGCGCTGCAACAACAAAATTTCCAGCTGTGGGACGAATAAAGAAACTCTTATCTTATCTTAGTGCTATCCTCAGGTCAAATTTACCCATCACA